CACACACACACACACACACACACACACACACACACACACACACACACTCGTGATCAAATACTTATTAAGTACGCGGTATTGCTGTATATGGTTAAATGTGTGTGTACGCATAATATTCGTGTATCGTTCACGGACGCGGTATGTTCCGAATTAACGTTGCGGTTAGTTCTGATTAACATACGGACTTGACTAATAACAAACTTCGTGCATAAAAACTTGATTATTATGTTGTGATCATCGTAACATTGTGATAATAGTGATAATACACGAATTGACAAAAATACAAACGAAACGACTGCAATAATATTATTAACACGCGAGCGTACGACAAACGTGTATAATGTGAAATGTATCTATGACTGTAAAATGTATTCACAACCGCAATCTTTGAGCCGAAATCACGTGTCGAGATTATTATTTCATTTTTATTTTCAATTATACCGTATAAAAACAGTATAATTTCATATTTTGAATCCAGTTATAAATTAATAATAAAAAAAAAAACCATGTCGCGTTAGCTTGTGAACAACTTGAGCAACATTGCATTATTATTCAAGTAGAAATAAATTATGTATATATATATATATGTTTACTTATTTCTTTAACTTATGTTTATATACATAATTATAAACCTTTGTTTTACAAAAAATTTAATTTACTTTATGATAAAAAAATAGCCAAGTTCAGCTGTCATGAACATTTGAATGCGACGGAGAAATAAACTTTAAAGTGTTTCGTTGCGAGTCTTGTTCATGATAAAAGTACATCACGATTTATGTTAAGAGATGATTAAGATTTGTTAAAAATTATCGTTGGTTCTTTCTATTCTTCGTTAAAATTAATTGAATTCATATAAAAGTTAGATTAATATAACGCTATGATAATTAATTAATTTATATCGCATAGTACACGAACACAAAAGATTATTTACAGAAATTATATAGGTAAACGTTATTTTTTTTGACAACATTTTTTCTCAAGCTAAAATTAATTTTTATATTGTTCTTCTGATCTAAATCGGTTTTTAAATTTAAATTCATATAAATTTTTTTAAGTTACACAATAAAATATATACAAAACAACGAAACAGACATAACAATTATACCTATAATAAAATATGTAGAAATAATGAAATACGCGGGTACATAATTAGCATGTATTATATCTAATACAGGCGTGCACGTATATATAATAATATATGCGATACTCGTAATAACAGTGCATGTACTCTTGTAGAGTCTTCAACTTCAGTATTTTAGCATTCCGTTCTGCCGAGAAGAAATACGGGACTTGTGGAAAGCTAACGTCCATAGTTAAATAGTGTTTTATTAAGTGGAAATGCAAGGGTTATACTCTGAAAAGTTTTACGGAGTACTTACATTTACGTGTTGCGGGATCCTTATTATTATTATAGTCTTATTATTTAAGTAGTTTTCTTAGGTTTCAATATTTTTGTTTGTTTACCGTTTTAGGGATTTCGAATTACACAACGGTATGGCGGTGAGCCAATTACACATTTAATATTCAGCACACGAATAGAATATTTGTTTTTAATATTTTTTTAGCACAGATAGCTCAGTAATATATTGCGTTGATTCGGCTTCAATACGTATATACATCCAACAACTAATGGGTTTCGTGAATATACCGTGATCATGTTTTGTTGTTTTAATTTTATAGTTCTTTATTTTTTTCGCTGAATCTAGAATTTAAAATATCACAAAATGATAAATGCGTGTTGCACTCAGTTATCATGATTTGTGACGAATACAATTGTTATTATTTAATAAATTGGCACTTATCGATTTACTAAAATAATCAAATCAAGAATTCAGTCTGTATAATGTACATACAAGATACGAATGTACCAAATTTAACCGATTTGATTAGACTCTGAGGGGAGCGAGTAACGACGTGATGTTCAATCGTTACTGTATTCCACTGGACTTCTGCAATTCACTCGACCATTGCGCTCACTTTTTTTGTTTTTGATATATTTGTACGCGCATTACTAACCATTACTATCGAATTACTCATTGCGTATAATTCTAGTGATGTACTAGATAATGGAAAATATGATTTTGTATATTCAGTACTAATTTAGTTACCATCCGGTTTAGACAAACTCTATATTGTTAGTCAAATCCACAATAAATTATATTTATGTATTTAACTTAAAAAGAGACATATCAATTTACATTCATTTGTAATGTTAAGATCATTTTCCTTTATACTTCCGAGCTATGGTTGAATATATTTAAAAATACCAAACAATTTTTTTTGAATGTCTATATTTAACTTGTCACCCCCGACCACGTTAAAATATATTATGATGGAAACAAATAACTATAAATATATTTAATCATCTAAAACTACAGAATGTAATAATAAAAGTAATAATATGTATTCGATTATCTTTGGAATAATTTTTTCTTACCGATGCAATCTTATAAAAATAAACTATACACATTTTAATCTGAAATGTTGTGGTTTTAAAATCGGAGTGAAATTACGTTACATCATAATAATTGGTAATTAATTTTGAAATGCATTTGACGTTCGAATTGGGCTTCGGAGGTTTTATTATACAAACGAGTATTTTACTTAATGTAACTACTTTTGCCGGTGATGGCGCTTCATTACTCATTGGATTATATCACGAAGAGAAACGTGTGAACTGCCATGTTGGTATGAACAATTATACAACTTTGAAATCCCTTCTATCTGATGTGCCTTACTAGAATCATATATATAGCCTACAAGATCCATTTAAAAATGTGTACGTGCAGTGGTTAAATTTCAAATGATGTGCATCTATAAGAAGAGACAGATCTATCATGACACGCATACTCAAAAATCAGATTCCATAATGACATGATGAGCTATTTAGTTTTGACACTTTTCAAACATTTGTAATGAGAATTCGTACAATTTGTTCAGACCGCGTACTATTATTTATAACGATTATAATTCGATTTCGTCGTATGACACGTGGATCGAACGGATAACGAGTGAGTGAGAGAGAAAGTGAGTGATGGAGGATCAACTACAAGAGAACAGAGGCCGCTCGTAGAGTTTTTGACACAGCAACTTTTAAGCAAACAGTCGCCGAGATGCGTGATCAAATACTCTAATGTTTTACAAATAATAGATAAATTCTAAAAAATGCAATGAAAACAGCAAAATATGGAGGGGAGACATCAAAAACGGACCGTTGACGGCAAATCTAGGATGAGCTATGATTTAAAATTACGTCTTGAAATATTACGATGTGCAGATACCTATTGCTATGCTGACACACAGATTTCATTGTCTTTAATCGGTACTTTTATTTGGACATGATTTGTTTATGTCTTGTGCTACGTTTATCCGGAAATCATAATGAAAACCATGATGATTTATACACAGGGAAACCTCCCCTTTCAGAAGTCTATTAGAAATTTTCACTAAATTGCAATCGTAAAACCTCTAAATGGGCGATATCAATACTGTTTTAATTTTATAAACAATAGAAAAATTCAACAATAGTAAAGCTGATCATTTTGAATGCAAATATCCGCTTCTAATTAAACACGTAATTTTCTCTGTATTTTAAAAATTAAGTAAAAAATACTCCGTTCTACAGAGTTGATCACTTGTATTGTCAGTATTGACTACCAGCGGTGTAATTTATATGTCGTGTTTAAAATAAGCAACCTTTTTGGCAGAAAGAAATATTCGATATAAAACGTTATTTTAATATTTGGTTTAAACATACTCGATGACACAAGTTTAATAATGACGTATCAATTATTGTTCACGTGAACTTGGTCTAATATTATTATTTAAGTAATTAATTATAAATATAGCTGTTCGAATCAACTGCATATAATTTCCGTTATCATAATCAGCCGTATTCGACACCGATACGGTCTCAGACGTGAGGTATGTACCCTGCGATAGCAATAGCATTATATGTATATATATATCAGTATATCAGACGGTGGTGGCGGTATTCGAAAAATTATTTTAAGATTTTACATTATATTCTTACACGATTTCCTTCTCGTTCTAAAGATTTCATCGACAAAGTATAATTTCGAAACAAACGCGTACTCTGGGTCGTGACAACAACGCAAACGGTTTCTGCGCAAGACTAGTTCTATAGTTCATGTTTGGTTTCGTACCCGTGTTACAGAGTGTCCAGTTGTTTTTCGTATCAAATAGAAATTTTTCAACACGTAGTGTTCGCGCATAATGTAAGAGCCCGGAGTCGTGAGAAAAGTCCTGAATTAGATAATCGAAAAACACGTTTCGATCGAATTTCTTTGAACGCTTTGCAACTCTGAGAGCAACGTACGTTTATTTCGCTACACGATTTGTCGACGATGTATGCGTATTGTGCGAGGAAAGTAGTAAACGATTGTTATAGTACGCGAGTATCTATTATTCATGCTGCACTGCCAGTTATACGGCCGCAGATATGAGTTCGTACAAGACGATTGGAAATAACCACCGCCTATTGTTCCGAATGCGTAAATTTTTTATGCAACGCACACTTCCATTTTTCCCTCCCCCGCAACTTCAAAACAATTCCAATCGATAACTCGAAAAATCCAATTCGATTTGATACGGTGAGATTACCGGTTAAGCTTTAAGATTTAATGTAATTTTAGTTTTTCATATTTTTTACTGTCGATTGGAATTGATTTTGGATGATCCATATTGATACGAATTATCAAATTTTGCTCGTGCTCATTTTAACCTATATTTCTATGTACCACGTATTTATAGACTATACTATAGCGCGCTGTATCTCCTTGTACATTATTTATTGTTGCTTGCCCTAGTCGGTTTAGTTAGAAGGAACCGGAAGAACCGCTATAG